TTTTTTTTTAATTAATTTTTTTTAAAACCAACCAAAATTAAAAAAAAAAAATTTTGGCCCCTTAAAAAGGTAAAAAGTTGGAAAAAAAAAAAAAAAAAAAAAAAAAAATTAAATATTTAAAAGAAAAAAAAAAAAAAAAAAAAATAAAATAAAATAAAAAAAAATGATATTTAGTTTAAAAAATATTTATTTAATATATTACATGATGATCTTCCCCTATAATTTGAATATTTAGCATCAGGACAATCTCTAGAAATATGTCCTTTTTCCCCACAAGTGAAACAAAGTCCATTTTTCATATATTTTTCTTTATCAAATCTAGAAGATAATCCACCTCTTCTCTAATAATTATCTCTATCATCTCTATATCTGTCCCTATCATAATCTCTATCCCCATACCTATTAGATCTATGCGAATCTCTATATTTATCATCTCTATCATATTTTTAAGAATCATTTTTTGATCTTTTGTAATCAACTTATAATATACCTCCTAATACTTCTGCTCCATTCAATTTTTGTGATGCTTTTTCGGCTTATTCGGGATTTTTATAAGTCACAGTCGCATAACCTTCTCGGTCATTTACTTAGCAGTCATATAAGTCTCCATATTTTGAAAATAAACTTTCTAAGTCTTTTTAGGATGTATTGTTGCTAAATTTTGATACATATACTTTTGCTTGTGAACTTGACATTTTTTTTATTATTAATTTTTTTTTTTTTTTTTTTTTTTTTGGAAATTATATTAATTATATATATATGTAATTTTGCTTTTAGTTATTTTTTGTTTATTTTAAATATTTTTAATTTTTTATAAATTTATTTATTTAATGATAATATATTATTATTAATTGTTTAATATTTTTTTAAAATAAATAAATATATATATATATATATATATGTATATTAAATATTATCAATAATAATTTGCTTTTTTTTATATAAAACAAAAAAAACAATAAAAAATTAAATTCAACTTAATTCACAATTAAAATATTTTATTTTAAATTATTTAATTTATACAAACATAAATAATAATTAACTTTATTTAATTATTATATATTTTTCTATTCTTTTATAAATTATGAACTCATAATCAATTTATATAAAAGACATAATAAAACAAAATATTTTTATGATAAATGAAATTTACAATTCAGTACTTTGTTTTTTTATATTACAAAAGGTTTTTTGTTATATTTATGAGGTTATTAATTAATTAGTTTTATATAATTTTTATTTATATATATATATATATATATATATATATATTTATATGTATATATATATATATATTTCCAATAATATCCAATAGTTTTAAATTTGTAATAAAATTTAAACTTAAGAATAGTTAAAATTATGAAAAAATTTTTTTTAAAAAAATTATAAGCAAGAAAGGATAAAAAAATTAAAAAAATAAAAAATATTAATTATAAAAAATGAATTAATAAAATAAAAAATTAAAAAAAAAAAAAAAAATTAATAATAAAAAAAAAAATTAAAAAAACCAAATTATTTACCTCCATAAGAAACGATCAAATTAAACTTTGTCAATTAAACCAATTATTTAAATAATTAAATAGCTATTAAATAAAATAAAAATATAAATTAAATTAAAAAAGCAAAAAAAAATTAAACTATAAAAAAGAAATAAAAAAAAAAAAAAAAAAAATGTAAAAGCTAATTTTTATATATAAATAAAATATAAAAAAAAAAAATTAAATAAAATAAATTTTAAAATATAATAATTATAAAAAAAAAAAATTATTATAAAATGAAAATTTTGATTATAAAAATAAGTGAAATAACTCTAAAGAAACCCGTAAAGTTATTCATTCAGCACAAGTTATTTTATAACAAAAAATCAACTTCTCCTTAAGTAGCTAAAAAACTATATTAATCATTAAGGAATTCACTAATCTTAAAAAATAATAATAATTTGTTTTTTATTTTATATATATATAAGATTATTTATTTTATTACTTAATTTTATTTATTTTTATGATGGTTATTTTCATAATTCTATTAACCTTTATGAGAAGAATGACTATTTTTCTAACCTTGTTGTATTTTATTTTGATTTTATAAACTAATACTTGAATATTATTTTTAACCTTTATTTATTTAACCATTTTAGTTATGAGGATTAATTTATAAATAATCTTATTAATATTATTATTAAAATTATTGATTATTAGGTTAAATAGGTTAAAATTATTAAGAAGTATTCTAAGCAGGTTAAAATTATTAAAAATTAGGTTATAATTTTTAAAGTAGAGGTTAACCTTATAATTACTATTATGTTTGTTATTATTATTAAATCACTGGTTATTATTAATTAAATTATGCTTAGATTTAATTTACTTAATAATGATTTTATTATTATAAAGGCATTTATGTTTATAATTGTTAGGCTTATAATGATTATTAAAACTATTAATATTATTATTATTATGTATATTATTGTAATGGTTATTATTAATATAATTATTATTATTAAGGCAAATTACTATATAAATGGTTTTATTATTAATACTAAGTATATGGTTACTATTATTATTATTATTGTTATTATTATTATTAATAACTGTAACTTTATTATGCTCCTCCATTTGAATAACCTAAATCAGTATATCCTGGCATATTTAATTATTATTACGAACCTAAATAATGTTATTATTAAGGTTATTATTAAGGTTAGTAAGGTTATTATTATTGATAATAATCATAAGGCTATTAAGGATTGCTGTTTTATTAATAATATGATTACATATATGATTATTATTAAACATTGTACATTTCAGGTGCTGATGAAGCCATTTATTATTATTATTGTCTATTTACTGCATTAGATACTTTTATATATTTTCCTCTAAAAAGAGACCCATTCATTTCTTAAATTGCTTTTAAACCTTCTTATGGATTAGAAAACTTAACAAAACCAAATCCTCTGCTCATTTTTGTTTATGGATCTATTATTATTTTAGAACCGATTACACTTGGATACTTTACACGGAAATGCTCAGCTAATTACTACTCATTTATACCTAATTCTAGTTCTCCTACATATACCTTATTATATATAAAAAAAAAAAAATATAAATAATAAATATATTTTTTTTTACAGAAAATTCACTAACAGGCATTTATGGAGTAGTCATTATTGAAGGTTATATTATTGGAGGCATGAATTAATTCATATATGATAAAGGTTATTGAGGCTATTGAACTTTTATAAGACTTATATTGTTTGCTTTTTAATTTTAAATTAATAAATTAATTAAATATATATTTTATAAATTAAATTTGTAATATTTTATATTTTTTAATATTTTACATGATTTTCCCCAATTCATTCTAAAAGTTACTTAAACTCCTGGTATAGGCTTAGAATTATAATTTAATAATATTTTTCAGCTTAATCACGATTTGCGAATTCAATAAAACAATAACCTATATATATATATATATATATATATATATATATATATTTTATATATATAAATATTATTATTTATACATATATTTTAATTTATCTAAAATAAAATATATAATTACCTGAAGGAAGTCCATTATCTTTATTTCTTATTAATTTAATACTAACAACACGACCTTTTAATTATTTTATTTATTTAATTTTTTAATATAATATTGGCAAATAATTTAAATATATTATAAATCTATAGTATTATTAATTTAATGTTTTACCGACTTTATTAAAAACATCTTCTAAATATTTTTCATTCATCCATGGTTCTATATCTCCTATCCAAAGTGTTTTAAGATCTGATTCACTTATCATTCTTATTGTTTTGTTTGTAATAATAACTTTATTTAATTTTTTATTTTAAATATAATTAACTAAAAAAAAAAAAATATATAAATATATTCCAAATATTTTTAAAAGAAATAATAAAGAGATATGTATACTAAATTTTTAATATATAAAGAAAATATATATCTTTAATATTTTTTAATCAAAATACATATTTGAATATAATATAAAATACATTCCTTAAATATTGATAAAATAAATAAATATGAAATAAAAAAATATTTTATCTATAATAATAATAATTTAGTATGATTATTTTTTTAAAAAATAGACATAAAAAATATACTATTTGATTAATAATTATATATTATATTTCATTTAAAAAAATAATAATTTAAATATTTAGTAAATTTTTATATAATAAAAATTAATGCATATATTAGAGTAATAAAAATCAAAAAAAGTTAATTTATTAATTTATATATATTAATATATATATCATATATATTTACTAAATATATTTAATTAAAATATATATATTTTATTAATTATAATTTTAAAAACTATAAAAATTAAAAATGTCAGAATTAAAACAAGAATTTGTAAAATAAATATAAAACAATATAAAAGAAGTTGAAAAAAAGAAAATATATAACAAAAATCATACTAAAAAATCTAATAAAAACTAAACAATAATTAAAAAAAAGATTCAAATTTAAAAGAAAAGTCTTTTTTCGATTAATTAATATAAAAACAAGGTATAGAAACAATATATAATTATTTGAACTAGAAAATTCGTTAAAATAATTATTTCAAAAACAATGAAAATCAATAAAGCATGAGCATAAATTAAGAAAATAAAACATTATGTAATAGTTAAATAATGAATGAAAATACTTATAAATAATTAGATAATAATAATGAGTAAAGATAATAAAATATAACAGAAATAATACTAGAAAATATTGATTTTGATGAATTTAAGCTAATTATTTTACTAAAAGATGTTTTTAAAGATATTTAGGAATAATTTATAATCGAAATATTAGATTTAATTTAAACAAAGCCTAATCAAAAACTAGGATTTAAAGAGCTTTTTTTATTTATAGTATATTCAGCTTCAGTTATTTCGAATTAATAATTAGAATTTTTAAATATTTATGGTTAGCTTATTTTCAATATTTTATCAAACGATAGTTAATAAATGTATGGTTGTAGATTAAGATAAATCACAAAAGTTTTTGGTTTTACTGAAAAAAAATACTTAATGCATTTAAATTAATAAATATTAGTTTAAATATTCAATATAAATTTGATATTTTTGAATTATTATTATTTTATTTAATTAATGACCATTTACAATAATAAATACAAAATAATATATAATAATCAGTATAAAAAAATATTGCTAATTCTCCATATAAACAACAATAATAAAATGTGGATAACAATTAGATTTCGAAAATAAATAAAATATAATAAAATTAAAATTGTAATATGTTTTGATTTTTTGTTTATTTGTTATATATGTTTCCCTTTATATTAATAATTAAATAAAAGATAATTTTTTGATTTTTTTTTTTTTAAAAATAAAATAAAATACAAAAAACAATGTTAAATCCAGAAAAACTTTTATTTTCAAATTTAGCATTATTAAACTATAACTTTTACTAATAAAGTAATATAATAAATACTAATATAGGTCTAGGTATATTCGAAAATCCAAATCCTAAAGCATTTTATAATATTTTATATTTTTTATTATCAAAAATATTAATAAATAATGAATAAGAATTATTAGAATTAAGCATTTACTATCCTCCTCATAATAATAAAGATGTAATTAATTTTAAAAAGGAAGCATTTAAAATCTTATAATAATTATAAGAAAAAGGTATTTTACCATAAATAATGTTCATTTCAAAGGTTATTTTGGAAGAAAATGGAGGAGAAAAATGTGTATAATTTCTTAGATTTTTAGCTGAGTTTTCTCTAAAAATATAACATATTTAAAATTTCCCTTTAAAAAATCTCAAAATTTTCAATTTTAGGAAAAATAATTTTGCCAAAACTGACTATTAAATAAGATAAAATAATGATCTTTATGATTAATTTTCTATTTTGAATGTATAAAATCAACATTTTTATGATGAATATCAAATTGAGTATTTTATAAACATTTTTAAAGCTCATTTAGAACTTGAATATGATAAAATTTAAAAAAGACTTAACTAATATCGAGTTTTTTCTATATAAATAAAAGAAAAAAGTGAATAATTAAACTCTTAGTTTTAATTTTAAAGAAAAAAAAATCTCTATTTAAAAGATTTTTTAAAAAATTAACATTAAATTAATCCCAAATTTCTTACATAATTAAGATAATTAGATAGAATTCCTCAAATCGATTTAATTAAATAAACTGTCCTTGAATTATAAGAAATAAATGATAATATTAAATAAAGTAATTTTAAGAACAAATTCGAGGATTTCGTTAAAAATGAAGATGATTCTATTACTAAATTAATGTTAAATATATAAGAATAAGAAAATAATAGTCATAATAATTTAATTTCTATTAATAAAATTTATTAGTAATTTAATGGATAATTAAAAAACTTAAATAATGAAATTAGAAATCAAAAAAATGAATAATTTTTAGAATTTTAAGAAAGGACTTTAGATAAAATTTAAAATTTAAAAAAAAATCATAATAATTAACAAATAAATTAAAATTAATACAAGAAATTAAATAAAATTGAAAATAAATAAAAAAATATATAAAAATACATATATATATATTTTAATGAAAATAATAATATTTTTAATAGAAAAAAATAAATAAAAAAATTAATAAATAATTTCAAATAATAAAATATATCCTTCCCTTTTTATTTAAATTTACTTAAATAATATATATGTCCGTGGTTGTAGCTCAATCGGAAGAGTGCAAGATTGTGGCTCTTGCGGTAGTGAGATCGAAACTCACCAACCACAATTATTTTTTTTAATAATTTAATTTATATTTAATTTTTTATGTATTTATATTTCATATAAAAAAATATATAAAAACGTAATTTTTTTTTATAAAATGAATTACACTAAATATAGATAATAATTAGCAAGAAATGATATAAAATTAGTTTTTTATATAAATTCTATAAAAAAAGAAAGCAAAATAAAAAATACATTAAAAAGTTTAACAAATAGAAACTTAAATAATTAATTTTATAATGTGAAAATTAATAAATAAGAAAAAATAAAAAATCATTAAAAAAATAATACAAAAGATTACAATAAAAAACAAATTATAAATTAAATAAATAACTATTAATAAGTCTAAATAACTATAATAAATGATGTATATATTATTATATATAAAAGCATATATAATTTTACTTGATAATAAACTTAAAATTTATCAAGTCTAAAAAATTTACATTTATTAAATTTAAAATAAGAAAATAAATACTAATTTTTTTTTTTTTATAATTAAATATTAACTTTTATATTAAAGAAATAAGTTGAAAACACTTACAATTATTTTTTTCATTAAATATACATTTCTTTTTTAAAAAAATAATATAATTACTTCTAAACCATCTTAAATAGTAATAAAAATATGCAATTGAATAATTAAATTAATTTGCAATGACAATTTATAAAATCAATTAAAAATTTTTATATAAAAAATAATGTCGAAAATTTACAATGAAGTTAAATAAGCTAATCTTTAAAATATAAAAGAATAATTTTTAAGTTAAATTAAAAAAATAAATAATATATAAAAAAAAATATAAGTAAAAGCTTATATTATAAAAAAAAAAATGAAATAATAATATAAATACATTAAAAATAAAAAATGGTGAATTAATTAAAAATAAATAATATAAGAAGCAATGGGAGTTTTTCAAAACTATTTAAAGGCAGTAATATATTATTTTTATAAAAATTAGAAAGTATAAATATAATTAAAAATTAAATAAAAAACAAGAAAAAATATTAAGTACATAAGAAAAAAATAAAAATATAAAAAAAGTATAAAGTGTAAAATGAGTAAAAATCATATTTTTTTTCATAAAAAAATAAAATAAAAATATAATTTTCATAATAATTGAAGTAATAAACTAAAAAAATAAAAAGTAAATAAACTAATAAATTAATTTTTTTATAAATATAAATAATTAATGCAAAAAAAATAGGAAAATTATATATTCAATTAGATTTAAATTGAAAGAAATTAAATATTTATCTGTATTTAAATATAAAGCTAATTTGAATTTAAATAAGGTAAGTAAAAAATAAAAATTAAATAAATATATAAAAAAGAAAGACTTTAATAAAAAAATAAGAATAATAAATATTAATATATTGAAAAATATGTATTATAGAAAAAATTATTTAAATAGTTAAAAAAAAAACATATAGATATAAAATAAATAAATAAATATAGTAAAAATTTTTTACAATTATAAAAAAATAATCATATGTAATATATATAAAATATATAAAATATATATATATATATATTATATTATATTTTATTATATATATATATATATATTTTATATTTATAAAATAAAATTCTTATATTAGTTTAATTTTTTAGTTTTTTTATTTTTCTTATTTACTCATTTTTTTTTTAAAATACATAAAAAAAATTATATATTTTTTTTATAATATAAAAATTTTAATATTTTCTAATATATAATTAATTATATATTATCTTTTAAAATTTATTTATACAAATCAATAATCAAATATAAATTATTTCAGAGATTTTTATTTTTTTATTATGTTACCAATTTACAAATATTATTTTTTTATTTATTATCATATTAATTAAATATATTCATTTTAAAATTAATTTACCTAATCAAAAATTAAAATTTTTAATAAGTATTTATGATATTATAAATATTTAATATTTTAATTAATTTATTAAATTAATTATAATAATTTTCATATTAATATTTAATTTTAAAATATAGTAAATTATATATATTTTCTAATTTTATTTTTTAAAATAATTAGTAATTTTAATAAAAAATAAAATAAATAAAAAATTAAATGATAAATTTTAATAAAAATAAGGAATTAGTAACAAATTTAAATCTTTTTTGCTTAAGTTAAAGCGATGAAGGATTTTTAGTAAATATATATATTTTTAAACAAAATAATAATAAAAATATAAAAAAAGATTGAAGCAACTTAATAATAAATAACATTTATACAAACTAAATTATGGATAACATATTAAGGAGAAATAAAAGAATATAGTAAAAAATAAAATAAAAAATTATATATAAATATATAATAAAGAATGGAATGAAAAAATAAATTTCGAAAAAAACATTAGATTTTAATTTTCTGCTTTTTTAGGTTTTTTAAATATTTTAGATGAAATGTACCTTGTTTTTATTAAAGAAGTAAAACCTAACCAAATTTTATTTTAAGCATAAATATTTGAATGCAAAAAAATAAAATTAATATAAATGAAAGTATATAAAAAAATAACATAAAAAAATAAATATAAATATAAATATATATATACTTATATATATATATTATATATATATAAAATATATTTTTTATAATTAATAAATTAATATAGTAAATTGAATAAATTTCAAAAGAAGCCTAAAACCACATAGAATAAATCGAGAAAGTAAAAATAATATATTTTTAAAATTATCTATTAAAAATATAGATTTTATCTTTTGGACATTATTTTTCATTTAACTATTTTCTTTCAATTTCTCTTTAATAAAAAACTATAGAAAAAAAAACTACAATATAAATTATTTTTGGAACTATAATATGTTAAGACCTCTTTATTCTTAAAATATAAATTAAGAATGGTGTATTTAATTAATTTAAGGGTATTTCTAATCCTTTAAAAGCTAAATAGAAGATATTTAATTCTAATATTTTTTAATTTCCAGAAGATCAATAAAAAGAAGTGGAACAAGATGTAACCATAGAGGTGTGTTTTTATTTTTTAAAAATAAATAAATAAATAAATAGGAGCAGATATGGAAGGAAATACAGCTAATTTTATAGAACATGAATCAATTTATATATTAATGAAAAATAATATAAAAAAAATATTATCTCATATATAAATAAGAGGTTCATTACCTATTTTATGGGAATAAAAGGGCTTAAATGGATAAATAAGTCTTAACGGAGGTAACTAAATAAGTCTCAAAGTATTCAAAAAGCACTTCTAAAATTTAATAAAGACCTACAAAAACATCTTTTCGATTAGTCTAATGGCTGAAAAGCGTTTAGGAGAAAAATTATTGACTGATACATT